GATTTCTAATCAGTGGGGAGTGGGAGGCTAAATACTCAGATGTGACGCAGAAGAGATTAGAGAGGGTGTACTCGGATCACTTCCCTATTTCCTTATCTGGAGATACTAGGGGTAGTGGAAGAAAGCCTTTTAGGTTTGAGAAGATGTGGTTAAAAGTCGAAGGTTTCGGGGAGCGTGTACGGACTTGGTGGGCCTCTTATGACTTTAGGGGGTCTCCCAGTTTTGTGCTGGATCAGAAATTAAAGGCTTTGAAAGGGGACTTAAAGAAGTGGAATGAGGAGGTGGTGGGTGATGTAAACTGGCGCAAAAGTCAGTGCCTTTCAGACATAGAGGAGTTAGATAAGCGGGAGGAGAGCGGTGGGTTGGGTGGGGAGGAGAGGGAGAGACGTGGAATTCTCAGGGGAGGGTTGGAGAGGTGGGTGGNGGAGAGTTGGAGAGGTTGGTGGAGATGGAGGAGATTGCGTGGCGTCAAAAATCTAGGGTCACCTGGTTGAAAGAGGGTGACAAATGCACTAAGTTTTTTCATCGGATCGCGAATTCAAACAGACGTAATAATTCTATCACATTGCTGGAGGTAGATGGGATTATTTATGAGGATCCACAGGTTATTGGAAACAAAATGGTGGATTTCTATCAAGATCTCTATCGGGAACAGTTTGAGTGGAGGCCAAAGTTGGAGGGACTGGAGTTTTCTACTATCACAGAGGAGGATGCTAGATGGTTAGAGAGACCTTTTGGGGAAGAGGAAATCAAGGAGGTGGTTTTCAGCATGAATGATGGTAAGGCACCAGGACCAGACGGCTTCTCGATCGCATTTTATAAGGCTTGTTGGGAGGTGGNGATTATTTATGAGGATCCACAGGTTATTGGAAACAAAATGGTGGATTTCTATCAAGATCTCTATCGGGAACAGTTTGAGTGGAGGCCAAAGTTGGAGGGACTGGAGTTTTCTACTATCACAGAGGAGGATGCTAGATGGTTAGAGAGACCTTTTGGGGAAGAGGAAATCAAGGAGGTGGTTTTCAGCATGAATGATGATAAGGCACCAGGACCAGACGGCTTCTCGTTCGCATTTTATAAGGCCTGTTGGGAGGTGGTGCGAGCAGATATTACTGATGTTCTCAACTATTTTTCTGAGCATGGCAGGTTTCTGAGAAGCTCCAACGCTACATTTATTGTGCTGATTCCTAAGAAACCAGGGGCGGTGGACATTAAGGATTTCCGTCCTATTAGCCTTGTTAGTGGGGTGTATAAGATCATTGCGAAGATTTTGGCGAATAGATTGAAGGAGGTGTTGGGGAAAGTGGTGTCTAAGTTTCAGAATGCCTTTGTGAAAGGCAGACAGATCTTGGATTCTGTGCTTATAGCTAATGAATGTGTTGACTCAAGATTGCGGTTGGGAGAGCCAGGGATGCTTTGCAAACTCGATATTCAGAAGGCCTACGACCACGTAAATTGGAAGTTCCTTCTGTATATGCTCAGGCGATGTGGATTTGGGGAAAGGTGGTGCAAGTGGATTCAATTTTGTATCTCAACCGTTTCATTCTCGGTTATGGTTAACGGGACCCCAGAGGGTTTCTTTCGAAGTAGCAGAGGATTGAGACAAGGAGATCCCCTCTCTCCATTGTTGTTTGTTATTGTTATGGAGGCTTTCAGTAGGATGCTTGAGAAAGCGGTGGGGGAAGGTTTGATTAGGGGCTTTGCGGTTGGACATGTCCAGATATCTCATTTGCTATTTGCAGATGACACACTGATTCTTTGCGATGCTGAGGATGAACAATTGAGGAATTTGCGTCGGTTACTTCTATGTTTTGAAGCGGTGTCGGGTTTGAAGATTAATCTGGGGAAATCTGAGGCTATCCCAGTAGGAGTGGTTGCTAATGTGGATGAGTTGGCTGGTATATTGGGTTGTAAGGTTGCGCAAATGCCTATATCTTACCTTGGGCTCCCTCTAGGGGCAAGGTTCAAAAGTAAACATATTTGGAATGGAATCATAGAAAGGATGGAGAAGAGGCTAGCGGGGTGGAAGCGTATGTATCTTTCAAAGGGTGGCCGTCTTACTCTCATTAAATCCACTCTTTCCAACCTCCCTACTTATTTTTTGTCATTGTTTCCCATTCCTGCTGCAGTTGCAAATAGATTAGAGAGGATTCAACGAGAGTTTCTTTGGGCAGGGATGGGAGAGGAGAGGAAACTTCATTTGGTCAAGTGGGGTGTGGTTTGTTCTCCTGTTAGGATGGGGGGGCTTGGCTTGAGGAAGCTGGTTCTGTTTAATAAGGCTCTATTGGGCAAGTGGCTTTGGCGATTTGGAGTGGAGAGGGTGAGTTTTTGGAGAGAAATCATAGGAGCGAAGATCGGTATTATGGAGGGGGGTTGGTGCTCAATTGACGGTCGCGGATCCTATGGGGTGAGTCTGTGGAGGTATATCCGTCGGGGATGGAGTGACTTTCGAGATAATCTGTCCTTTGAGGTGGGAAATGGCAATAACATCAGATTTTGGGATGACCGTTGGTGTGGTAATGATCCGCTAAAGATACGATTTCCTGCTTTGTATCGCATTGCCTTGGAGCCGTCTACTATGGTGAGTGAGGTACTCACCATTCACAACGGAAGTCACAGTTGGGATACTATCTTTGAGAGGGGTCTACAGGATTGGGAATTAGATGATTATGCGTTGTTTTTGACCTCTTTGCATGAGGTGCACATTCAGTTTGGAGAAGGTGATCGTAGCAGGTGGAGGTTGGCACAAAATGGTATATTCTCAGTTCGCTCTTACTTTAGATCCCTATTAGATCCTGTACAGAGCTCATTCCCATGGAAGAAGGTGTGGCAATGTAAATTGCCCCCTCGGGTGGCTTTTTTATTGTGGACGGTTGTGAGGGGGCAAGCGTTAACCGTGGATAACCTTCGAAGAAGAGGTTT